AGAGATCTCCATGAGAGCTTCACCTTTTAGATGCACTCTGCATTGCATTCTGTTTAATACTGTTAGTAGTTTGAAGTGGTAGCTACTGATTGTGTCCTTAAAGAGAAGAGTACTTTTTTGGAAAACTCCAGAACAGTAAAGTGTTATTAAGCTATTAGTGGTTCTGTGTGCATTCAATCCATTATGAACATGCAACAATATGTATATGTTACGGGCAATGTTTAAAATGTCGACATATTATAAAATGCCTGGCATTTTTAGGCAAAGCATGAAATATGAGAATTATTACATACTTACCTAGGCATTTCATAGAATGACAAATGTGCTTTAGGCAAAGTGTGAACAAAAGGTCATGATAAGCTATTTAAAAGATGTTAATTCCTGAAAAATGCAAATGTTAGTTTGAAAAAATAATGAAAGTCTGCCATTAAAAAATTTTTAATCTAAATACGTAAAAACAACAAAAAAAAAAAAAAAAAATTTGTGGGAAGATCTTGATAGACCATGATAAATTTGTATTCTTTAACTGACTAGAAATCAGTAAGATCTACCTGACAAAGGGAATTAAATTCAGAAAAATCTTAGGTTTCACAATAATGTCGTTTTTAATACCTTTTTGTTTTTTCTGGCAGGGTTCACAAAAGTGGATGTGCCGTTCAATATCATTCTGTGTAACATTTTTGTATTTGGTCTAAAGGTCCTTCAACATTCTGTCATCGCCTCCAGCCCAACAGCCAAATTAATTTTATGAAGTACATGAAATAACTGACGCCTTTCTTTAACAGGATAAATGAGTTCTTTTTTACATCATAGCGATTCATCAACCATTCTGTGGCTCCTTCTTAGCAGCCATTTTGGCTTTTTTTCATCATTTTTTAACTTCTGATTCTGGAACTTTAGCCAGTTTTCAGAATGCCGAATTTCATACTTTGCCAATAACATGTGTGCGTGAGTCAGTCAGTCAATTAATTGATTAAACTTTATTTGAACAGATTTTGAATTTAATTGGCAATATCCCTTTAAATTCTTAATTTCAATTTATTACATTCCCTCTTCAAGGATCCATAATGCATCATTTTGCCCCATAGTTTTCTCTGCAATGCAAAAGCTCTTCCCCAATCACTGTTCATAATTGAAATAGAGGATCCAAAATTTTAAATAACTGCTTACTACACATCACTTTCTCACCTGCTGTTACCTACCTAACCTCTATTATCTTTAATTGCTTAAAAAGGAATATGCATATATGGAGTTGAGGGTGTAGATTGCATCCGTTTTGCTATGCAGTGTCTGCAAGAATGGGCTTCCAAAGAATTTTGACTGTCCTGAAAATATGATGTTTTAACCATAATAATAAAATTCCATAGTCAAAATACACTTAAAATTCTAACTGTATGTTCTTTTCATTTTTAATGGCGACGGTCTCTTATTTGAAAGTACGCGGAATTAAATTCACAGCCCCATAGTCAAGTTGTTTTTCCCGCCTTTTCTACACATACAGTTATAGAATGTTCTGGAAATATTTAAAGCGAACTGGATTGACTGACGAGGCTGACATCATTTCTTGGAAGCTCCGCTTTTCCAGAGGGTATAAAAGGACTCGCAAAAGAATATCGGGGGCTTTTTCTTAAATGTCACGATGCAGTAAACTTCATACAAAATGTTAATAGTAGTTCTTTTTTATTTACTCTGGATATCTGATTTTGTAACTGCTATTTCTCCTGATTAATAATAAATGGATCCTGTTTTTTAAACTTATCGTCTGATAATTTAAGCTACGACTACATTTATGATTCTTCAACAATCTATTTATTCCTGACAAAAGCTGGTATATCACAAGGAGTCGGCAGGATTAAATAGTGTACTCAACAGCCAAGTAAGAACATATTAAGAAATTATTTTTTCTCAATGTGTGAACTAAGTTGCTACGTTATTAGTTTGTTTTAAATATATTATGTTAAAGTAATTACAAGTTTATTTAAATTTTAAGTCTTATTCTAATTAATAGTATTTATTCTAAGTAAGATTTGATATTATCCTGAAATGTGTAGTGATAATCATAAAATTTGAGAATACAAAATTTTTATTTAAGTCTATTATTCTATGAATTGTTGATAATACTCTGAAGAGTTTTTGGTTAAAAAAAAAAAATATTTTAACTATTGTAAAAATATTTTGAGAAAAGTGCACATATTTTGTTCTCAAGAAAATTTTAAAGTTTCAGTTACCAATGTCGACCAAATCAGGAACCCAGTAATCTTGGCGATTCATGAACATAAATAAGATACAATAGATTTTAATATTATTCCATTTGAAGATTCTAAGGACAGTGACATAATTTCTGGTTAGGTTATTTTAACAAAGTCTGCAAAATAAGGACGAAAATTGAAACTTTAAAATTTCTTGTTACATAAGGGAATGCCCTCTGGGCTCTATATTAAAAAATTGCCATGAGCTAAAAACGTACTCAGAATTTGAACAAATATTAAAAAAACCTTATCGATCCCACCTTAACTACTTTTGGCGACTTCGTAATTTAAAATATAACGCCGAGAAGACATCACAAATTACTTTCGAAAGAAAAATTGAAGTGGGTAAGTGGCTTAATTGGATAAATCAATTATTTTAGAAGGTTTGACAGATGGTTGCCAACGAACTTAAAGTCTTTGATGATTGTTCAAAGTCTCGCTGATCCGATAACGTGGCTAGAACAAGCCCACAAACTTCGACAATTCAGAATTTAAAGATGAAATTCAAAAATTATGACAGAGATAGGAATAGTCAACAATTCAGACAAGCAATTTCCGAAATAATAATCGTCAGTGTTAATAATCGACCATGCATCTAATTACAACCCATAGTTTTCAAAATTGGAAACTCTAACAGTAATATCAACAGTGGAAAGTCACCATACTAATAGTAATTTTGACGGTATAGCCCCATCACCTTGTAGAATATGTACCAAAAAAGGGATACCAAATTGTTATCTTTGGGCTCAAATCTGCCCATTCCGAAATGAGAACAACAAAACTGAAACTAATTCTAATGTGGAAAACAAAAAAGCAGAGCTTCCAAGAAATGACGTCAGCCAATCCAGTTCGCTTTAAATATTTCCAGAACATTCTATAACTGTACGTGTAGAAAAAGGCGGGGAAAAAAAAAAAACAACTTGACTATGGGGCTGTGAATTTAATTCCACGTACTTTCAAATAAGAGACCGTCGCCATTAAAAATGAAAAGAACATACAGTTAGAATTTTAAGTGTATTTTGACTATGGAATTTTATTATTATATGCATATATGGAGTTGAGGGTGTAGATTGCATCCATATTGCTATGCAGTGTCTGCAGAATGTGCTTCCAAAGAATTTTGACTGTCCTGAAAATATGTTTTAACCATCAAGCTAGTTGTACTCTTCCATCTATTATGCAGCAAATTTAAGCTGTCTTCTATCATGTGAGAGCTATATCCTTCCCAACAACCTTATCAACCTGAAAAAAAAAAAAAAAAAATGGTGTCTTCTCATTATCAAGCTGTCATCATTGACCAAAACTATTACATATCTATATTCTTTTCCCATTGCAATCCTTTCCTACGGCAATGCATACCATCCAGCATTTCTGTTGTACATTTAATACCTAGGAGAAAATTTTTTCCTTGGATTCTTAAAACCAGCTGTCAGTAGCATTTATAATATCATCATCCCATGAAATATGCATGTTGCAAAAATGTTTCTTTAGTATTTTTATACAGAAAAAGTCACTTGAAGTGAATATGGAGGCTGAAATAAAATTTGGGATCTTGCCACAATTATAGCAGCCATTGCCTTAGCAGAGATGTATAACACACTTTGGGTCTGACTGTCAAAAATTCCTTTTGTCATCTTTCACTTCCATTTACTGTTAATCCTATGACTGTTTTTCCATACTGAAAGTGATCAGTCATTGATGGTATTTTGCATCTCTGAAAATGCTGGTCATAATTTTTCCTGGTGATGCTGATACGTGAAACTTCCTACTCAGAGAAGAAGAGGCTTGTTTTCAGGTCATTTGTTGATTACTCTCAGAATAAATGTGATTTATCTATACTTCATCATGTCATGTATCTATATAAAACTGTGGATCTTGATGAAACATTGGTAAAGGTTAGTCCAGAATTCTCACATGGTTGGTTTTTTGTGCCTTTGATTAACATTTTAAGTATCCAATAAGTTGAGACTATTTTCTTAAATTCAATTTTAACAGATTGGTTAAATTTTAAATTAGCTAGCTAAAAGTCATCATCATAGTGTATCATCATTACAGCTTTCCCAGTGTGAAATTCTGTTACCCATTTGACAGTTGGGGAATAAACTGGATGCTGTTTCCATCATTTATTTCTATGCACATGCTTATGAATGCTGTGTGTTTATTTTGTCTTTCAAACATAAATATGTTGAACTTCAGTTTTATCCTCTATAAAATATGGACTGATATGATACAGACATTGTTAAAAAAAAATTAAATTAAGCATATCTCAGCTATGCCACTGAATCTTACATAGAATTACTTAATAAAATAATATATAAATTTGACCACTTTTTATTAGTCCATCTACAAATGTTTTTATCACTTTTCTTATATAACTTTATATATTTTTGTTTTTTATCAAATTGATTGCATACAAAACTTATACTTATTTTTTATGATATGAAACTTTTATTGAAGTTCTGTGTAGTCCTTATATTTAATTTTCTTCAATTTTTATGTGTAGAATAACATAGCAAATTCCATAATTAAGGAATCTGTGTGACAAATTTTCTTCAAGTATGCATGAAATGTAAAAATCTCCCCTGCCTTGGCTGTATTGAAAAAGTGGCATATCCTTAAATCTTGGTATAGTGACATATCCTGAAGTTTTCATAGGTGGAAGAAAATAACTACTATTTTACAATTTTAGTTTGTTAAATTTCAGCCATGTTAGATAATTTTATATCTCTAATTTGCCACAAAAGTGCAGAAATTTTTTTTTTTTTTTTTTTGGTCTGGAATGTAAGTAAATGAAAATAATATTAAGCAGTTTTCAAATTAAAATGTTATTTAAGGTAAATAATTGTTAAATTTGAGATTCTATTGCCACATCTACTTGAAATACTGACATTATTATGCTTTTTATGCTTTTGCATTATTATGCTTTTGTCTTTAACAAAATGTAATTAAAATTATGTTTATTACTAGGTTCCTGGAAATTTTCATGTGTCTACACACTCTGCATCATCACAGCCTGACTCAATTGATATGTCACATATTATTCATGAAGTCAGCTTTGGAACTCAAATGGTAATTTTATTTATGTATCTTTTACATAGATTGAGAAAACATAACAACTTGAATTTAAAATTAGGCAAAATGCAACCTTAATTTTGCTTGACTATAATACACACATAATTAGTGCCAAAATAAAACTTGTTTAAAAACAATTTTTAATAATTTTTGCATATTTTCAAATGTGATTTAAATAATTATGTAAAAAAATTGCAAAAATATACAATTGAAATCATATAAAGAAGGAATTAAAATGGTATTATTTAGGTTAAGAGTAAAAGATGAGTAGTTGTATAAAATTTCATTAAACGTGCATACTCAAATATCACAAAGTAATTTAAAATCTGGAAAGTCAATTTGATTACTTAATGCATGAGACGTGACTAGCACATTCATGCAGTAATGAATACAATGTTGAATAATAAAAGGATGGTTTTTCTCTTTAACAAATTATTTTTTATTAAAGTTTATATAATTTTTGTCATCCTTTTTGATGTTGCTTTTTGTTTCTGTCTTTGCCCACCGGCAGCTGAGCGGTAAAGTCGCTGAACACTGGTAGTTCGGTCCGAGGTTCAAATCCCGCGAACGAGCTGGCTGCATGGGCATTTTCGTGGTTTTCCCCATGTGTAACGTGTATACGAGCCAGTTTCCCTTAGAATGTCCTCCGCGAAGGCATCCCTACCCTTAGGCAGATAGCCCTAGTGTGCTTTACCATACTTAAATAAACCAAGCCTTGTTTCTGTCTTTTTATGGTCCACATCATTATTCCAATATCAGTGCTAAATATTAAAATAATAGTATTAATAATAAATCTTTGACATACTAAACATTTCCACAGATATTTGTGTATATCTAAAATATCAATTTTTTTTTTTTTTAAATTATTTCATTTATAAAATAGGGGAAAATGACATTTAAATATATTTAGAAAGATACATATATTTAAAAAGATAATTGCTTATCTGTTGCTTTTTTTAATTGAGGTTCCATTTTTAGTGTTATTAGCAAGAAGTCATTGAATTCCAAATTCATGTTTTGCAGATAAAATAATTGGTAAAATTTTTAGTTGAGTACATTTTGGATATTTTAGGATGCTTTTAGTGAGGCTTCATCATTCATTTATATGCATAGTGTAACTGCTTTGTTTTGATAATTATGATAAACTTATACCTGTAATTTAATTCATTGCCTATACTTGGAAAGATTACTATTCATCAGATGCAGAGCATACATAGTGTAACAAGAATGTGTATTTTCTTTCTTCAAAATAAACAATTGACAAAAGAGCTTTAAAATATTTTCTTTCAAACATAGCATAAAAGGAATTACAAGCGGTATGCTACAGCTCAAGGTGGATTGCATAATGTTATGCCATGGGGCTTTCAGAGGCATATTGTTTCAATATGGTTTTGTTTCAATTGGTTCCTTTACCTGGTTGACTGTGGTGGCAAATCTCTTCATATGTGGGGTAATTTATGATGCAAAATTATCATTTGAGATAACATGCCTAAGACCATGTGTAACCTTCCAGTGTATATAGCTAGCTCTCTTCCAATCTGGAGAAATTTTGCAGTTTTGCAGTGGTTTTTGCATTTATGAGTATTTGGTGCAAAACAAATCATCAGACGCTTTTCTGCCCAAGAAGAATGTTTATCACCCACAAGTATGACTAATCTAGGTTTCAAATACCTATTATTTTTCTGTACAGGATTTGCTTGAGGGTGATAAACTAGAATGAACACTTAGTCAGTGTTAAGAAAAAAGCACAGTTGCTGCATGACAATATTAAGGAATTGAGTTCCATTTTCACTGATTAGTTTTTTCATATCATAAGAAGACCTCCTTGATGTATATTCCTTTGCAGTATCAGTAGGTAAAGTGAAAAGCTTTACCCATGTAATGTTGTAATCCATTTTTTTCCATTGGTACTTTCAAATAATAGACCAAATAATTTGATAGCAAGCATTGGGAAATTAAGCCATATATTGTTCTATGGAGCAACCCAGATAGCGTCTGATGTGAAGGTTTGTTTCTGTTGCTTTCATCACAATTTTGTATGTAATTTGCAATGTATCTGCACATTCCTGTCAAGTAATACCTTTAGCAAACTCTGTAGTATATGCCTTCAGCACCATAATGTCTTGCCGTAGGTGCATCATTATATTGCTTACAAATTCTCTCTTGCTGATGTATTGGTTTTATGCACATAGTTGAACTTCCTCTGATTCAGAGTCTGTGGAATAGTAATTCAAAACTTCTTTGTTCATTATATAACCTCACCTGGTTCATCTAAAAAAAATTTCATCTTTCACTCCATTTTTGAAAGATTATATTATCTTTTTTAAAATCTGTATCCTTCAGCTGTTCTCCATGGACTTCAGCTGCACTCTGATTGGCATATCAATGGTTATTATAGACTTTACATGATTCTGTGTCATGGTTGCACAGTGGACATAGCAACATATAAGCTACAAAATTAACTCTTCCAGGAGTTTTAGAACTATAATTGTATAGTCCTAAAATAGTCACTCCTATGTGTGACTTTAAGCTTAAAATCCATTTCAACAGTTGGTGATCAGATACCACCATAATCTCTTGGCAATCAGTATAGCCACGGAACTTATTCGAGGCTCTTGCAACATCAAGGCTTTCTCGTTCTGTTGTAGAATATTTTTTCGATGGCTGACAACAAATGGCTAGAATATTCTATTCGATGTTCCTCTGAATTTTTTTCCTTGTAATAGCACAGCACCCAAAGTATTATTATTAGCATCCATTCGAATAATGTAAGTATTTATATGATAATTTTGCTTTCAGATAGGAGGACTTATGAGAAGTTGTTTTCTTCTTCTGGTCTCTATGTCCTGCTTACATTTTTCTTAGTAGATTACTTATAGGTCTGGCTGTTTTTAAAAATTTTGGTAAGAATCTTCTATACCAGGAGCAGATCTGCAAGAAAGACTGTACTTGTTTCACATTTCTTGGAGCAAGCATCTTCTGTATAGCAGAGGTTTTCCTGGATCAACCTCTACTAATTCACTAGTAATCCAGTGGCCAAGATATATCACTTTACTGAAAGCAAAACTGCATTTCTCATGATCTTCATTAAGTTTACATTGCAACAGTCTTTTAAAAACTGGCTAGATCAGGTGAATGTTTTTCAAAAGTATTATAATATCATCTAAGTGAGAGAGAGAGCAGGAACATCTTTCAAGCTATTTCGGAATTTATCAGTTAATTTCTGAAAAGTGGCTAGAGCAGTACAAAAGGCATTCAAATTAAAGTTTCAAAAGAACAAAAAAATGCTGTTTTGTCTCTGTTTGTAAGGCAAACACTGACTTAATGGTACCCAGACTGCAGATCAGTGGCTGTCATGTATGGTTTATGTTTAGCAGCATATCGTTAAGCCATTCATCCTAGGGAATGGATATGTCTGACATTGTAACAGCATTCAATTCTTGGTAATCCACGCAAAGTTGGACTTTTCCATTTCCTTCGGGTACAAAAACCACAACAGCAGCATATGAAGACTTACATTCTTGTATCATTTTCTTTTTTCTTAAGTTGAAAGCATCTTAAGCAGGAATTATATACACTTTTTTTTGAAGTGTTTAGCAGTTTAGGACTGTTTTCAATTCTGAATTAAGAGATTTTTGTTAAATGTTTAAAATTGTGTTTTCTTTTAATCTTTTGATTATATACAAATTAATTACAGAATATACAAGGATCTTAACAATGACATGTAGTATTAATGGACACTTCTGTGTAATATGGTAACTAATAACATGACATTCTGTCCTGTATTATCTTTATTTTCATTTATATTTAGCAGGTAATGTTTAAAAATGAAAGTATAATCTTAGATTTGATGAAAATATCTGATATTTTTTAAGCAGTCCTCTTTATTCAGAAGTTCAACATGTCATGAAGCTCTAATGTAGGCTGTTATTCTGAATAACCTGACTTTTCTTAAAACTTTCCATAGCCAATATGTAGCGTTTGGAATGTGCAAGTATTCCTCCTGAAGAATAAAGTTTTAAAGATGAACTTTATGTTCTGTCACAAATAAAATAAATAGATGGGTAAATAATAAAATTATAAGCCTTAAGTTTTGTTAATTTCTGAATTCAAAATGGTTCATTAGGAGCTTTTAAAATGCTAGATGTGCAAATAGTTTGTAAACTATACAGTTTATATTCAGTGATAAGTAAAAGGAAATAGTTATTCAGAAATTTTTTGAACAAAATTTGTCTTAATTATAAACAAGTTTGTTTATGTATCACATTATACTGATTTAATATAATCTAACAATGTAATTATAAACAAACAAAATTTTATAAACTGATTGTATTAAAGTAAGAAATAATTCAAAAACTGTATTTTTGTTTCTCAGAAATTTAAGTTGTTGAAAGCGTCTTTCTTTTATTTTTAATTTTTTTAATATTTGAATTTCATAGCATATTTTGATAAAAATATATCGTATTTCTTTCTCTCTATATCCTCCCTTTTTTCTTACTTAATACCTATTTTAAACAAAAATCTTATAGAAGCCTAAAACTATTTTATTGTAACCAAATCAAATCAGTTAGTCAAATTTAATTATTTTTTTCCCCAGGGAGATTCTGTCAAAGGCAGCTTCAATCCTCTTAAAGAAGTTGACAGAAGTGGAGCTAAAGGTGAGTTTTAAATGTTAACAGATAATGAAGATTGTTAGAGCATTTAATTTGTGTGGAATATTAAATATTTCTACAATTTTATTTTACATGTGGACAGAAAAATGGTTCAGAAAAATAAATTTAAGTTTCTTGAAATTCTACTTCTGTTGTCAGTTATTTCCTTTCATTCTATTAGATTTGTCTTTTTCAATCTTATTGTTGTCAGGTGTTTCCTTTCATTTTCATTTTAACACATGAATTGCAGATGTTGGAATTCATATTGAATAAGCTAATTTGTTTTTAAACTTATGGAATTTTGTAAACCACGTGGACTTTTTCTCTTGAATTTCTATTTTCATAGAATACAGAAGATTTTTGTGATTTAATGATTACACTTAATGGGGACTTATTTATTTAGTTAGTTATTGGATGGAACAATGCAAATTTACTAGCACAAACTACGAGTGTAAAACAAAACTCTACCACAAATACAAAAGGCAAAAGAAAATTGCATGGAATCCCAATAATAATTAACAGTGTAACCACACAACAGTGTCATAATATGTAAGAGCTATTTTTATCTATAACAGGAAATAATTTTGATTTTACATAATCTGAAAATGTGAACAATGTACAGTTTAAAAAAAAAGTTCAAATCCATTTGTACAGGAGTTTGAACTAAAGACTTTTGACTGTATATTTATTCGTTATGTATAATATGCTGCACTTTAAAAAAATGGGTATAAATTAATACTCCATTGTTTAGCATGAAACTAATGATCTGAAACTTTTTATGCATTTCGATTTTTAAATTCTAATGTTGTGTTAACCCTTTGAGAGTTACAGGTTAGTCTCTAAAATTTCAAAGTTCACCAAAATGCCATCAATAAGCATTATTTTCTTGATTACAATTCTAAAATAACCCTTTCACTTTGTCTCCATTTCTTCAAATATGCATCCCAGCGGCTTCTTTGGGACCTGGCAGAAATTTTCATGTGTAATTAAAGGAAAAGCCATCTTTTGATATGGAGTTTTATGTTCATAAACCTTGGAGGGTTAATATAGTACATGAAATAATATAAGGATTTAAATATTAGGATATGTGTTATATTATTATGTTCACTCTATCAATATGTTAACCACTTGCGCTAGACCTAAACTTCACGGTTGCGGTGCCGTGCCGTGCATTTCAATATAACAAGCGGTAAAGTGTCTCATTTATGCCGCTCCGCATCTGCGAGTGCAATCCAGAGCTGTAACTCGAGAAATAAACAATCTCGTTGTTAGGTGACGTGTGCACCACTTTATTTTTATTTTTGTGATAAATGCCTATCGACGTTGTGTTCACGTCGCTCGCGGTTTGAGAGAAAAGCATCTCGACGTATGTGGCACGTTGTTTTAGCGTGGTTAAACAATCCAGAGATTAATAAATATTTTAAAATACTGATTTTAATATGTTTTGACTCTGTCGAGCAGATGCAACCTTTTATCATACATCCTAAGAAAATCAGATTAAATATCAGATTTAAAGGATTAATGTAATTTAAATGGATTAATTTCCATTTTATATCAAATTTAAAGATTAAAATATCAGATTCTAAAGTGGATTTAAGGGAGGGAGATATAGTGTGTGATCTACAATTTTTAATTATTTATTTTTAGATGGTGCCACTAAAGGGTGTTGTTTTAATATTCTCTTTTTTTCTTCCATTTTCTCACATGTTCAAATATGAAAACTATTGACTTTTTTGCTTTATAAAGCTATTATTATTGAATTATGATGCTACTGAAATTGAAATTTAATGGAATTAAAAATATGAGTTATTAAATTAATTAATGGAATCATTTTCCTTTATGTATACTTAATTATTTGCATTTATTTTCTTAATTAAAAAGTGTATTTTATTAGCTCCATCTAAATAAATAAATAACTAAAAGTGATAGATTGCATAATGCATCATTACTAAAAAAGGGCGGATATAAAAGATATTTATTTTGTGTCCAAAACATTAAATATAGCCTAACTAAAGTAAATCTAACATCAAAATATGTTCATATCATCTAGTAAAATCAACACTGAGGCAAGGGAATAGTATGAAAAAAAAGGAAGCAAAGTCTAAATAATATACTATCGGGAATTTTTTGAGGTGATGTTATGAACTATAAGCATTATTATGATGTTATGCCGTGCGTTACATTTCATTTTGGCATTTTGAATTTTTTGTCTGAATCACTTTTGTTGCCGCCAAATATTATCACCCTGTATTATATTAAAATAAATTAAATAATGAAGAATCTGCATAAATGTATGAATGTTTTTCGCATTGTGATAAAACAACAGTACCTAGAATCATCAAATTTTGAATAACGTACATCTCCACCCGTTATGGGCAACTGGAAGCCCGAATTTGGAATTTGTTTTATTACCTATTTCATATTTTGTAAAGCATTTCAGTTTTTGATTAAGAAACTCAATGATTTCAATTTTATGCCTTTAAGGCTAAAATTTTGAATTTGGTTTATTAAAAAATACTTTTTTTAATAATTAATAATGAATTTACATGAAATGGCAAGGTAAAATTGCTTCTAAAATCTCTCAGTGATAAATTAATTTTTATTAAATTATTTTGGTTAGTTATTTGTAAAAATATTTTCTTAATATTAATGTTTTAACTTTTTTAACATATTTCAATATCTGTAGAATTTTTGACAATTTTGGCTTTGTAGTAGAATGATTTAGTATCAAACAAGAGTTTTTTTGAAAAAACTGATCAAGTGCCATGTTATATAAAATAATAAATAAATTTTAAAATTTTTAACTGTTAATTTCAGCGTGAAATTTGCCTCATGTGGTCTAAAACTAAGATTCATTAAGTCTGTTGTGATAGTTTATCATCAAGGTTAAGCATAAATATTTTTTGTTGATGTTGATATTTATGTGCGGTGCTCTTGAGAGAAATATATGCAAACAGATATGGACCAAAATGGCATGCTATAGTGAAATAATATTTATCTATCATATTCTGCATTTTATGAATGCTTGAAAATGTGGAATTATTTCTCCCCCACCCTGTACATAAGATGGATAAGCTATCATATTCCTTACAAAACAATATTCATTAAATCTTCTAAAACAATTCATGTTATTATTATTGTAGGACCATTAGTTTATTAGCCCAGAAGGTTTATTATTTCATTTTGGCATTTTTCATCGAAAGCTTGAAAAGTCTGAATCACTTTTCAAATTGTTAACCCCAAATATTATCACCCTGCATTATATTAAAAGAAATTAAATAATGAAGAATCTGCATAAATGAATGAATGTTTCTCGCATGGTAATAAAGCAACAGTACCTAGAGTCATCAAATTTTGAATAACGTACATCTCCACCCGATTATGGGCATCTGGAAGCCCGAATTTGGAATTTGTTTTATTATCTATTTCATATTTTGTAAAGCATTTGAGTTTTTGATTAAGAAACTCAATGATTTCAAAGCACGCAATGGCAACACTGTACAATAAAAAACATTTTTATTTCCAACGTGCAAGACTGTGTATCGGAAATTCTAAAGATATGCACTTTTTAAAATTATTTTGTGATATTGCTATTGAATTGAATTTTATGGTTTAAATGTGAGGAACATGATACTTAATAAATAAAGGTAACACACAAAACGTTAAAAAAAAACCCCTTTGGGCGTAATATAAAATCTGAAAACTTTCAGTTTTTTTTTTTTTTTTTTAAATTAATTTTGCTTTAAAGAAAAATCTTAGAGTGAAAAATCGTTTTAAATCTTAAAAACAAAAGCTTTTATTAGATTAAACATTAAAAATTATCAGCTTTGTGTTCTATCAGGTAAATTTGCTATTCCATTTTATTGATATATCATTGTTTTAAAAAATAAATAAATTCTTTAATTTCACAGTTTTAATTTTTTGTTCCAGATATTGAATCCCATGATTACGTGATGAAGATTGTCCCAACCATTTATGAAAAACTTGATGGCCTTAAAATTGATTCTTATCAATATACATATGCATATAAAGTAAGCCAAGTTTTTTAATAGGTCTTTCATTAATGCTTGTTATTGTTTTGTATAGCTTTTTATTATTATTATTAAAGAGGCAGTTTAGTTTGATTTAGGTCATTGATAACCAAAAGGGTCGATGTAATTCATCATGCAAATAATAATAACTTGTTTTGAGAATTTCAGTTTATAATCTCTTGTTGCTTACTTTTCTCTAAGATGTAAGGCTAATTAAACTGTTAAATTTCTTCTTTATGCACAACACAACCTAACTTCAGTAGAAATATTATTTTATTAGCAGCTTCGCTGCCAGCCTTCGTCTGGCTTTTAAATGTACCGGAAAAATGGCTGAAGGAAACACCAAACATTAAATTTAAAAACTGCATAGAATTTTAACTCTGGCAGAACTTCATAAAAAAGTTATTACGTATAACAAAATTACAATGAAATAAGCAATATCCTTAATACAAATATTAATTATCCTAATAAATAAATTAACCAATTTCCCTTGCAAAATCTTAAGAACTCAATGGTATAAAGGAGGTTTAAAAACTTTGTTTCCTAAAAAAATCACTCAAAACTTTTCAATATCTTAAAAACAGTAAAATGAGCAATAAATAACATAAAAGAATACAAAAACAAAAAATTCTGAAAAGCAAAGTATAATTAATGATATTTTATCTTATATTTTCAAGAGAAAAAAATTAGGTGCTACTTTGGTAGACGGTTGCACGGATTTTTGGTGATTTACATTGGCGTGGTTTTTATAGTCATCAGCCATCTTTAAAAATGCTGTTTTTACGTATTTTATGCATATAGTAAAGTATTTGAAACTTTAAAAAAATAAATATCGTTAAAAATAATGGATTCATTTTTTGTTGAAAATGTTGTTTTTTAAGATGGCTGGCAAATGTAAATAAATACATTTTCTAAGAGTATAAAATGCTAAGGTAAGGTTAAATTATTACTTTCAGATAACAGAATAAAAACACCGCTATAAAAACATTGCGCCAACATTTAATTGGATTAAAATATTACTTAAATTGAATATTGAATTAAAAACATAATACCAACATTTAAAAGAATTAAAATATTACTTAAATACTGTAAAATAAGTTTTATAGGATTTAATTATTTAACATTAAACAATGTGGCGATAAATATCTCAGAATTTTTGAAAAACATTGTATTAATTTTTTATAAAAGTTGAAGTATACCATTATAAATTAAAGAAAATTATGTACTTACATTTTTATAAAGTATTTTACCTGTCGTATATTGATAAGTACACAAAAAAAATCTTCTAAATATTTTCATGTGTGATCCACATCTCTTGCACTTCATTGAGAAAGCAATTAGCGAGGTTTTCTCCAAAAAATTTAAAAATAAATTTCTCTGACGCTATTAACAATTTAATAAATAAATCTTTGATTAAAGGCCAGGTTGGCCAAAATAAGGCTCAAGAGCAATTTTCTATTCCGATACCAATAATTTTGGTAATTACCAATAACAACATTTATCTTCGAAACGAACATATCCATTCCATTTGAAATCTGAGGAATTCGAAGAGATGAATAATAAAATTTTAAAATGTTGCAATAATGCACAAATATTCAGTAACCAATGAAGGAGCTGATTACATCACGCATAGAATTAAAATTATTTAAATAATCATTCATAATAAAATCATTTTTAAAACAAATGCAAAATTAAATTGTACCTTAATATTTAACAGCTATAAATAATGTTAAAACATTAGATTAAATTTATAGATATTAATAAAACCAATTACTTTTTAAGTACGTGACGTCATTCATTACATCATCCACAACATAAAATTATAAAATATTATAAACAACAAAATTTTTATTTCAAATAAAAATGCAGAATTAAATGATTTTTAATTTTAGAAGCCATAAATAATATTTAAAAACACTAATTTATGCATAATAACATGCATTTTTTTAAAATAAAATGACAACAAAATATCGGTTACCGTAAATAACTTATCCAGCATTGGGTTTACCATAAGTCGTATTACTCGCCAAAAGAAAAACCGCCAAAATCCGTGCAACCGTCTAAAAAGTAGCACTAAAAATTACAATGAAATAAGCTATATCCCTTAATACAAATATTAATTATCCTAATTAAAAAAATTAACGACCTTTCCGTTGAAGAAAAAAAATCATGCAAAACTTTTCAATATCTTATAAACAGTGAAATAAGCAAAAAATAACATGAAAGAAACTCAAAAAACAAAAAATTCCGCGCACCATTTTACTCTGCAGAACAATTTTATAAAAAAAATCAATAAAAATGTATTATATGTATAAAATATGACAATGAAATATGCCAATCTCTTAAAAACAGTGACATAAGAAATACGATGAAAAATTGTTGCCAAACCCATACTTCTAAAAGAATGAAACTATTCAAAATGATGCCATTTCATCAAAAATCTATCAGCAACAATAAGAAAGGAAAATTGTTGCCAAAACCACATTTTTAAAGATGTGAGAAGTGTACTCGGAAGCTTCATTTAAAAAGTTTTTTAAAAATACAAAATATTATCATTTTTCCAAAATTCTTTTTGTAAAAGCAGTCGCAAGGATGAAAGTTTAATGTGTCCAAAAATCAAAGAAAAATAAACTGTACATTTTTAAACATAAACTTTTTTAGAAAAAAATCCCTTTGAAAAGATGTTAAGCTCACTTTGTTAAATAAATTCATATTTAATCGATTTATTGAAACACGAAATTTATTTTAAGTTCGTAAAATAGCTAATTGCCTACGTTTCATAACGATGTGAAAAATGGAGTGTGTAGAGTAAAATCTCGCTTTTCTATAGCCCATTATATCTCAAAATGACGCGATTTCATCACAAAACATAAAATAAAAAAAATTCAAATTCGAATTTCGAAAAATCGCTTTGACGTGCACTGGCTCTTGTCTAGATGCACCTATGTACCAAATTTCGTAGCCGTGGGTCTATTAGCTTACGCGCAGTGCAACGAAAGACAAACACACACACAGACAGACTCTTTGTTTTATTATATGTAGAGATGGTCTCTGAAAACTGTGCAAATCATTTGCTTAGGTTAACTATTAGTCCCAAGTGGAGATATGTTTAAAAAAAATGCATGATTGTTAACAATAATTGAAAATTTTCATAGAAGTACCCCAGTTTGTGTTTCTAGTATTAAATTAGGAAAATTTTATTTGTTTTGAGGAACATTTTTTTCTCATCATGTAGTGTTGTTGTCAAAATAACCATACCATAGACCAACACAGTTACTTTTTTAGAATAGAAAGGAAAAGTAACCATATTTAAAAGGAAGCTTTAGAGTTTATTACAAATTAAAGTTAACATTTTATCTGAGAAATGTACATTGTTTTTCTTTATTTATATATATATAAATTAATTTTGAGGTTATGTTTTCCATAATTAATTTTTTGATACCTTTATTACAGAGCTCTGTGACATTTAGTCATACAGGACGTATCATGCCTGCAATATGGTTTCGTTATGATTTAACTCCTATAACTGTGAAATATACAGAGACAAGACCTCCACTCTATAGCTTCCTAACTACAGTAAGTTACCATACACAATCATTTGATTGTGCAAGAGAGAGTAAAAATAAACATAGGATAAATTAGGTTAAAACCTTCTTTTTAAAAATTTTCTTCCAAATATGTAACAGTTCATTGAATTTGAAATATATTGTTCATATATATAATGGGAAAGCTAGCTATGTATATATAAATTGCAAAAATAACATGTCTTCTACACACGCTGGCCAATGAGTTAGAAACCCCCGATCAATATTTTATTGGACCATTTGGATTATTTTATTGGATTGCTTGGCATGGATAATTGCTGTGATTCGTCTGGGCATTGAGTCTACATGCTTCTGGAGTGCATATACGTCCAAAGAATACCATGCATTGGTTATGCAACTTTTTAGATTTTGTAAATTAGATGGAAGATGCTGGAGTGCTGTTGGATGCATCTTTAAACCATATCCCACACATTTTCTATGGGGTTAAGATCCGGGCTATGCGGTGGCCAGGGAAGGTGATGGAAGTCAAACGGATGTTCAGCGAAGGAATTTTGAACACTTCTGGCATGATGTATAATTATTGCATTATCATCCATGAAGTATCCATTGCCATCACGGTAAAAATGCATATAGCAGGGTGCACTTGATCTTCCAGTATATCTTCGTATCTCCTGGCTGTTTGTTTACCCTCGAGGATCAACAGTGCACCACTTCCAATGTAGCAGAACATGCCCCATATCTTGATACTCCCGCCAGACACTTGCACAGTGTGAGTGAGGCAAGATAAATTCATGGCTTCATGGGATTCTCACCAAATTAGACGTCTTCCATCAGTGCGAAATAAGGTGTAGTGTGATTCACCCAACCACATTACCCGTTTCCAGTCCTCAGATGTCCAGTGTCTTCTTTCCTGACACCACTGCAAATGAATTCTTGCATGTCAGGCAGAAATGAGTGGTTCTCACAGGCACCTGACTATACCTTCCTATCCTGTGCATGGTTCGAGCTGAAATCTGTTGGGAAGTGCCTTGGTCGATGATCTGTCTCAGTTGATGCACAGTAGAGTCCCTGTTCTGCTATACAATTCGTCGGAGACGCCGCCAATCGCTGTCTTGGAAAACTGTGCTCGAACCGCATTTACGTCTTCTAGAGAAAAACTGTGGGTTCTGATTCCAACTTTTGAAAACCAGTATATCACTGAGTTCTCAAAAGCAGCCGATATGGGTCTTTTGAGAAATCAGTGAGATTTGCTATTTTTGAAATCAAGACCCCTGCTAAATGGGCACAACAATAAGCCCTTTTTCAAATAGTGAAAATTCTATCGATTTTCCCGTTTTACATCATTCATCACGAAAAGTGCTCTTACACCTTACTTATATTAGCAGTCTAACCACATGTAACCCATGTCATAAAAAAAACATTTGCATACTTTATCCCTAGCACACATTCAAATGAAAATCTCATAGGTTTCTAATTCATTGGTCAGTGTATATATATATATATATAAGCCAACTTTCTCAATTTAGGCAGGAGACTACTGATTTTTGATAGTAATTCCATCAACTGAATTTATAAATTTATTTCTCTCACCTTTCTCTAATTTCTAAAACATCTGATGATTTTTATGTAGCTTAGCTGATTATTTTGTTATTTGCAAATGGAAACATATTCTCTCATTTCTCAAACCACTTTTTTTTAATTATTAAATTAAATAATAATAAACGAAAAGAAGAAATGTACCACCAAAGCTATTTCATCAAGAGTAGGGTATAGGGTATCGCTATGCATATAAGAGTAGATATGTTTGCAAACATTATGTTTCAGTTTTACAGTCAAGCATAAATGCTGGTGATCTAGTACACTTTAAACAATAAACATAAAGCAAGATTAAGCTCCCTCTTTGCAATTTTGGTATATCATTAAATGGTGCAAGCTGCATGTTTTACAAAATTATTTAATGTCTTGTGATCTTTTATATTATTTATGCCTCCCCCCAAAAAGAATGAAATGGTGAAATACTTTAACACTTTTCAAAAACATATAAAAATGATTCTCTTTGTGTTATTTCATCAAGGAACTGTAGTATGTTTGTGACATCATTGTAATTTTTTGATTTTGCACATAGTATGACCAAAATTCTTAAATGTGCATATGCTAAAATACAAGGACAATGTAAATTGTATTAAAGAAAATGAATGTCATCCATCAGGGTGGCAGAAAATTTTAGTCTTCTGTGCAGATAGTTATCTAGAGACACTGTATTCAGTTTCAATGTTTGTTTATGCCCTCAGAAATACTGATAATTTTTAGAAATAATTGTCATAAGAGGTGGTCACTGGAACAGAGTTCAGAGTCACTTCCAATGTTTATTTATGTTCTCAGAAATACTGATCATTTTTAGAAATGGTTGTCGTAAGAAGGTGGTCACTGGAAGAGAATTCCCTGTCTTGGATTTACTAAGTCTGTGGTGAGACTGAGAACTAGCAGGACAGCAATGAAGTAGGAGGATAATAGCAATAAGTTCTCCTCAAACTTATTTGACAACTGCTGTGCGACAGTGCATTCATCAATGATATGTATGTTTCTAAGATTTGCTTTTTGTGCAATGATAAATAGCTTAATATGTGTTAGGATTAAAATTCCTTGTTTGCAAATTGAAAGGTTAGAATAAATTGCAATAACAATATTATTAAGCTTTTAAATATGATACTATAAATACCATGATTTCTTCCAGTGTAGGTTGTTGCCACAGTTTGGCTCAATAAATATTTTTAGTTATGCTAAAATCCATTTGTGTCTGTGCTATTCCAATAAATAGCATTAAGCTGTAATTACATAAAGAGTGATTATTTGCTTAAACCAGTCACAGAATTTTAAACACGAATAGCGGCATTAAACTTTATAACTATTTAAAAGTATGAATATCACAAAAATTCTTGAACATTTTTTGTGATTTTAGTCTGAACAGAACCTCTTGCAGTGACACAGAACTTTGTACAAAGACTTGATAGACAGCAATTGTTGATTTTAAAAAAAAAATACTCAGAAATGAGGTGAAAGTAATGTAGCTTCAGTTTGTCATTCGGTGACTTACTAATAAAGTAACAGTGTTGAATTTTTGTATTCTGATTTTTATCCCCTTTATAATTTAGAACGCTATTTTTTAAATTTTACATCTCAAAATTTTGCATTATATTTAATTATAAGAATCATGGATGCACACTTAGACTTCTTCAGAGTAGACAAGTAAAAATCTCATCTTATAACAGGTGAAAAAAAAAAGTTTATTTTGTAGAAATTTGAGAAGTTTTAAATTAAATTTTTATTTTTAAGGGTTATATCAAGATTAATAGAATTTGTAATTTTTTTGCAAATTTATGCTTCCTTCCCCTACATTTGCTTCCTAAATGCAAAATATTGTATAATCAGATTTAAAAATCATTGAATCATTAATATCTCAGCTCTTCAATCTGATTACTTAGTGGAATTTAAATTTTTTTTGTAATTGATTTTGTTGTTGTTATTGTTTTTACATTTACATTGTAGTTAAGTACCTGCAGTTGATAATGCATCTTATTTAAGAAATAATTATATAAATATATAAATAATTAAAATATAAATAATATTTACATAATTAAAAATAATTGTAGATAATATTTACATAAATAAATACTTAACTAATTTAAACAAAAGTCCTTATTTTTTTATCACCAAAATTGTCTTTTTCTTTGCATGTATGTTATATGTATCCTAATACTTTTGAATATAATTAGGTATGTGCAATTGTTGGTGGAACATTCACGGTGGCTGGCATAATAGACTCCATGGTTTTCTCTGCATCAGAAGTATTCAAAAAATTTGAAATAGGAAAACTAAGTTAATCAAAATAGTGTAATTATTTCAGCTTCATCACCAGAATCTCATGGGCTAAGGAGTTTCCAGTTTTTATGTCAACCCTAAGCCAGCAGAGATTTAAAAAATATATAATTTATGAATGTTATGCACAAATAGCCATTATCCCATGCTAAAAATGTCTTCTTTCCTTTTTTTTTTTTTTTTAAATCTTTTACCCTGCTAAAAATGTTGTAAAAGCAGCTGATGTTTTTCACCTAATTAAAAATTTTTGTTTTATTCAGGTACAAGTAATCCTCATATAATGTGAATATTAGGTTCTAGAAAAATGTGGCATTGCTATACAAGACTACAAGAAGTAGATTTTTATTCAAAAAATGATTCTTTTACATAAAATATATATATTACTTGTCAATTAACAAAAGACTCATTGTTTTTATTTAATTCAAAAGATTTATTTAAGAAAACATATGAAAGGTAAAATTTTAAAATGTAATAATTTTCTTTCAGTTTTCTATCTGCAAAAAATTACCGTATTGGGATACTCCTTTCATTCCAAAATAACAATTGTAATTAATACAAACTGGGTTCTAAGTATATAAATGAAGTTCAATTGATGTTGTGACATAGCCTTTTCTGGGCCTTCTTGTGAGGACACTGAAGTAGCTGGTAACTATTAGCCAGTTTAAAGAAGTATTTAATTTTGGTTAACTATTCAAAATAATCCTTATATTTCCATCTACATTTGCATTTCATTTTTGAAGAAACATCAGCCCAAATTTTACCTCCATTTGATTGTTTTTGAGTATCTTTCCAAATCTTTGGCACAGTCAAATTTGTTAGCTCTCGTGTTAACTCTCTCCTGCAGTTTTATTTCTAGCACCGTGCTTCAGCTTGTGACATTTAAATCAATGGCAACAACTATTGCAGTATACCATAATGCTGCTTGTTAGTGAAAATGTTGGAAAGGAATTGCTCGAACTTGGAATTCCTTTCCAACATTTCATTATGTGCATAACAGTTTGTATTTTATACCTAGGGTTAGAAGATAACACTAGAAGTATTCAACTACAGTACTCACACACCAAGCCTCTGAGATTTGTTGGGCATGTCTTCATTCTCTATTGCAGTTGTCTCAAACTGGCAGCCCCCAAAATACAATTGCATTATGGTTCCAAAATTTGCAAATGGATAAGATTGTGAAAACAATAATTAAAACTGGAAAGTACAGATGTGCTGCGAGTCATCGAGTTGCTTAAATGTTAGCTTGAAGAAACTGAAAGTTAGGACGAAAGTATTTAGTATAACAAGGTGAGGCACTTGCGCTGAGGAGCTGAATTTTCACAACACAAAGTAACGTAAAACCTTTAGAGGATTTAGAGGAAACCTTTAGAGATTTTAAATAAAACCTTTAGAGACTTATATAATGATACATCAATAACAGATTTAACATTTTTTGTTGACTTTAAATATTATCATTAAAAAGTTTCAAGGAAAGAATGAATTTATCATTGGCATGTGTGCTTGTATTAAAATTTTGAAAATTAAATTGCAGTTACAAAAAATACAACTTAAATCAAAATATTTCATAAATTTCTTCCATCGTAAATCCTTCCCTATTATTTCAAATGAAAAATCTCAAAAATTTGCCTGAAAAATAGCCTTATTACAAAAAGAATTCTGAGAAAAAAGTATTGATATTAATGATATAGACCAATTATACACTTTTTTTATTACCATTAAAATTAATCTGAAAAGTGCACCAGAAATTCTACAAATAGAGCTGATCAATTAACCAACATTGGTTAAATGATAAAAATATGTCTGAGGATTTAAAGATAAAGTTTTGATTAAAATTTATTCACACTTGTCAACCGATAAATACTCCGAGTTATAAAATTAAAAATAATCTCTTTGTGTGGAAGTGCAATTATATTTTAACAGTATGGTTCTCAGTTGAAAATTAGTAAGTCTGGAGAAAAGAACTTAATTGATCGATGAGCATCTGAAATCTTTGATGAAGATAGTTTCTAGAAACTTTTCTCCAGGTCTATAAACTTTATTAGAATTGATGTGCCATCAAGTAGTATCAAGCTGTATTGAGAAATAAAGAAATTTATAATTTTACACACAAATATGTGTATTTTTGTCTGCATGAGTAAAAAAAATAATAATAAATTAATAATTAATTAATTAATAATAAAGAAAGAATGTTGCCATTATTTGTTCTCAAGCTCTGTCCCATTTCGAAAATATTCTGGATATTTGGAAAGTTTTTATAAAATTTGTTGAAGTAAGTTATGTAAGTGGTTAGTTCAACATATCAGAATTATTTGAGATAAATGTCAGTCTGAAAATTTAACATTTAATTGTCAGTACATTTGAATTATGAATTGTAACTAAAAGCTACTAATATTAAGATTTTAGGAAGGAAATAAATATAAATTTTTCTTTTTCATTATGTTTATGATTGTTTGTTATGTTTTGTTTACTGTCTATAAGAGATTACATGCCTAATGAAAATAAAGAAGAAGGGGGGGGGAAAAAGAGTTTAACAAAAAGATGAAAATTTAATAATTTTAGACAGAAGGAAGTAATTATACGTTTGAAAAATAAAAAGGAAGTATATTGAAAAAAATTGAAGAAAATACAATTAAATATAGTTGAAAAAAAAAATTTGAAGTAAATGTTTGAGGCAAATTAATTAAAAAAATAATTTTCAAATATGTTATAAATTTACATGCAACACATTATACACATGCATTACATGTGACATCAGGTTATTAAGGGGTGCTATTCATAAAAAAAGTCCAGCCCATCTGCTGCTTTCAGATCATGAATTCAGCCCATTATGAAATTTGAGTTTGAGACACACATATATTGTGATGAGTTTTGAAGATTTCAATGTCTCAAGAAATTACCTCTTCCACACTCACACAAAAACATACTCCCTCCTTTTTACCGTTGGTGGACCCTGCATAGCAGCTTCCTAATCACACCATGTAACTTTATGGATGTTTTTGATACAGACAAAACCAAACATCAGCTAACTGTAGATTTACAGATAAGGACACTTGATTATAATTCTTTACTTCTTTCTCATTTTTCTTTACAACTTTTCCAAATGTATGTCATATTTTTGAATAAATGGAGTATTATTATAAATGTTGTAAATGATTATTTTTTTTAAATAAATATGTATTTATTTTGTTAATTTCCATAATATAATACTCTCTATATACGTACTTATGGTCTGTATATCACTCTATAACAATATACTATAATGATGAGCTTCAAAACTTTAAGAAGCAATTTGCTGCCTAAAATGAGTGGCAAAATTAAGTACTAAATAGCAATAAATTGGCTAAGTAAATAATAAAGTACAGTTTTAACAAACTGGTAAAAATGCTTTGGGAATTGTTTCTGCCAAACTGGTTAAATCATATGTTTTTCCCCCATCAAATTTAATTTGTTTACAGCAATGGTAATTCCTTGTATCGGTCTTGTGGGAGTATATAAGTACTCACTTTTCATGAAATGAATCTGCAGATTTAGTTACAAGATACTGTATGTTATGCCTTTCCATCTGTTTAGATACAAGATACTGTACTGCTTACAATTTATTTCTGGCTTTAGCACTTTCTTTTAGCTGCCTTATCAATATTAAATGTAATAATTTTATTTTTCCCTTAAAGTGAAACTGGAAGCTGGTCTTTCATTTCAAGTCCATACCTAATATCACCTTGATATATGCATCATTAAAAGTATACATCAGATAAAAAAATTAATACTCATATACATACTATTTTAGAATCTACCCTATATATTACAATAACTTTCCTTCCTTATTCATTTTCCTCATCAAACATGTGCAATGAATCATGTAAGTTGCATAAATACTACATCGTATGAGGATCATTACTATTTTATAATAGCATCATATCAAAGATAGAGTTATATCATTGTTATCTGTACATTTCAAATCACATTATATGAAGGTTACCTGTATATTTTAAAAAGAGTTTGCTGTGATTTATTTAAAATACATATTTGTTGTAATGAAGTTTTATCTTACAAAAACTTCCAAAACTCGTAATAATTGTGCATTTATTTGAGATTACCCATTTTATTGGTGCTATAATGGTTTTAAATTAGTGAAGTATTTTTATAATTATATATGCTCTTTTTATTGCTACAGTAGGTGCTGCATAATGTACACATTTATGCATGGCTATTTTGATAATATTAATCAAGACAAAGGAAAAAAATCCTTCAAAATTGCAATGGAATTTATCTAACTTATTATAAATATAACTAGGAACATATAATAGGTCTTTTCACAGCATTTTAATTAGGAAAATGCAAAAGTTCATAATATTTCTGGAAATTATTTGATCACTGCTTGCCCGTAATCTTAATACTCAGAGGGCATCCATCATTGGGAGCCTGCCAATGTAAAATTTAAAATTAAGCAAAAAAGGAACCTTAGTTTGGGATAAATGTTTCCAAGGAGAGAAAGTAGCTCTATGGACATTTTTTCATCCTGAAGAAGAGGGACCTGTGCCTGATCCCATTCTAAATTGATAGTTAATGAAAATCTGGTGTCAATTTAAGATTGGTTTTTTACATAATTTTAAATGACTGACTGATATCAAAACACCAAGTTTAAAGACACTTTTCTCACTTGGCAACATTTCCCTGTAACTTGGTGATTTTTATAATGCATTTTAAACTTATTTGATGACTTTACTTCAGTTAAAAAGTATATTTTTTAATATTTTGATAATATTAATGGAACTGTTTGTCACAATAAGTGACTATTTTCCATATTTTCATTTATTTTTCATATAAAAAAGGCTGGGACTTCAGTAATTCAAAAACAGTATCCAAGTGATATCATTAGGTGGCATTTACTGTACTCTAAATCTGACATTTAAAATTTATTGTGCTGTAATATTTTATGCTGTATTGAACAGATTTCTTCCAGAAGTATGTACATATGAAAAGTTTTTTTGTATATAAAACAACGCAGAAATGTAGTTTAAGATAAAAATATAAATTGTTTGTTATTTATCACTGTTACAACAATCAAAAGTTCCCTTCTTAAGCAGTATTTTTCTATTTTTATGTACACAATTTGTGTTCCAATCATGTCTTTTACTTTATCAAGAAATAACAGCATGTCTTAAAATTGAGAAATTATTATTATTTCCCCCCCTAATGAGCCATATATGTACACAACTTATCAAACCTTGCTATAACATATTTCAGTGTGCCAAAAGTTTGGTTCATTACATCCAGTGGTTTGCTATATCTGATTCTGATATGGTCAGAAAAATGGATTATGTCACAAAAAAGTATGGAAATAAGTTGATAAATCACCAAAAAGGTGGGGTGGAGAAAGAAAAAAAAGAATTAGCATTATCACACCTAAAAATTATAAATATATAAACATAAAGTGAATAATAACTCTACTATAAAAATATATTAAGAGTTAATTTCAGTCTTTATCTCCTGCAGTTATTGAATTCGTTTTTCATTCTTTTTCCAATTTCACAATAGTTTTTACACATAAGCTCAGAGCCCTTCCATCAAAATATATGTTTATCATATGTTTCTCTCTAAAATATACTTGACACATATTATTTATTACTGTAATACATAGTATTATTTAATATAATAATAAATAATCATTTTTTGACATGATGTTTCCCAAAATGTGCTTATTGTGTGTTCCGATTTTCCAAAAATTGAGTGTTGCACCTACTTTGCACATAACCATAGACAAAGGTGTTGGTTAAGGTTAAAGAATAGTAATGCAAAGATATTTTCTTTATCTTACTGGTTTCAACAGAAGTGATTTTAAGATTTAAATTTTTCAGTTAAAACATGCAAAAGTCTGGGAAAAAACTATGAAAATTACCCTAAAAAACTTTCAATCGCAGATAGATACCCATACAGTTTTATATATCTAGTTTTGGAAATTTGCTATAGCTATAAAATATCATTAAGTGCATAGGAAATTGGATGGAACCATAAGGGGCGTTCACAATATCAGGAATTTCAATACAGTACAAAGTCTGTAATCAGGATGTCTATTATCCGGAATGATCTATAATCCGGACCTCAAAGCAACTTTTTTTTTTTTTTGTATGCTTTTCGCATGCGCATTTAATGTATAACGGATGGTATAAGATAGGCTAAAATTATCTTTATTGATTCTAAGGCATTTCAGTTAATGTTGCAGATTGCACTGTTCCTTAATATTCTAAATGGATCTGGCTTATTATTTATTGCAGACTGTTAGAGCAATTTTATAAAAATTAAGTTTGAACTTTCGATTATGTCAAAAAGAGTTTCCAATTCTGGAGCTGCCAAAAGATCTGCAAAGCGAAAGCATGTTTTGATGTCCATCAAACAAAAAGTGGAATTGCTGCAAAAAATGGATAAAGGCATATCCGTCTCAAAATTATGCGAGGAGTATGACATTGGAACCGCGAATTTGAAGGTTTTCGGACATCGCAAACTAAAGGGAAATTTTACAGTTATTGGATTTTGTAAAGAAATGTGGAGACGTGTTAATAAATAAAGATGATATAACAGAAGTTTTTCATTGCAAAGGCAATGCCCCAATCATCAATCAATTAACGGATGGCAAAATCTGTAGTATGGTTCTAGATCCAGAAAATACCGCTTCCGATAGTAAAGAAAGTGACAGAGAGGTTATTTGAAAACAAAACATTTCGATTGATGAGTTAGTCGGTATTCTCTACACAGCAATTACAGGACTTGAACAGTGGAACTTTGTAACTGAACAAGAAATTATGTCTGTTAATAGAATTAAAGAGAAAGTATTAGCACAAAAAACGAAGCAACTTGAACAACTTACATTGAAAGAAATGTTTAATAAAGTAAACAAATAACTATTAAGTTTTTTTAAATTTTGATTTTAAATTTGATCATAATTGCTCTTTATTTCATAAATTACAGTTTCATAATTTTAATTATATAATTTATGCATGCCATCTTACCAGATTTAAACAGATGATCTATAATCCAAAAAAAAACCCCAGTCCGGAATCGCCGAAGTCCCAACGAATCCGGATTACGGACTTTGTACTGTAGTATATTGCTGTGATCTTCAAATTTTGCCAACTAGTGGAACCCTAAAAAAAAGGAATTTTCTTTTATGGAACCCCTAAAACTAAAATTTTTATAGAGCTACTAAAACTATAATTTCTGTGGAATACCTGAAACTAAAATTTTCGTGGAACCACTAAATATATAATTTCTGTGGAACTCCTAAAATGAATTTTTTGTGGAACATCAAAAACTATAATTTTTGTGAAGTAGCTAAAACCATAATTTTTGTGAAACCCCTAATGGTATAAATTTTAGTGAATTTCTAAAACTATAACTTTTCTGGAACCCTTGAAAGTATAAGTTTAGTAGAACTCCAAAAACTATTATTTTTTAAACATCTAAAACTATGATTTTTGCAGAACCCCTGAAAGTATAAATTTTTTGGTTTAACCACTACCATTGACAGAAAATTAACTTTAAAAGCAACAGTAAATATATATCAGTGAAAAGAAAGAAAAGAATTATTTTGTATAGTTACTTCATATTATTTTAGGTAACAATAACAATTTTGCAATCCACATTGTGTTGATAATTTCTTTTAAAATCCAGTTTTCATTTATGAAAGCCTTCAGAGAGCTATCTGAAACCCCAGAGTTCCACAGAATACAGTTTGAAAGACTACTGGTATATTGAGTTTGCCATTGCAAGGTTTGACAGTTTTAGTTTTTAAAAATTTAGGGGGATTAAGTGCAGTATATAGTAATTCAGTAGTGTATCTGTGGCATAGTATAGACTGATTTGCATATTCTTTGCATCCAGTATTATTTTTATGCATAAATAAATGACTTAATTTGAACATGAGATTCAAATACTCCTAAAATACACTGCCAAATTTAATGATCTCATTTTAAATTAGATACATAAGTAAATGTACTTGTTTTGTATGCAGTGTTGTTTGATTTTTAATTTTTCTAGTTACAATTCAAATGCTCTTGTATAATTGGATTTTTTGTTATGGGTTATGGTTTGAAATTAGTAATTTCACATTTTATTGTAATTTTTTCTGTGTTTGGGGATGCATTTGATAGGTTTTATTAAATATTATGACATAATTTTTATGGAAATTATTTTTTAAACATTTCGGAAATGAGAATTCTGTAAAACGTCTGTACACGTGCTTGCCATAATGCGAATTCATTTTGTTTTTCATAAAATGTGTTCTTTTACAAAAATAACTTGATACTTCCAAATTTTAAAACAAACATTAGTGCATATATTATTACTTCAATGTGACATTTATTTTTTCATAAATGTTTCAAATTTTTCTTGGTAATAAAGAAGGCCTAGTCATCTTATCTATCATTTTTTCATTCTTAATTTAATTTTTCTACAAATAATCCGTCATATAAAATATTGAGAAGCAATGAGTTTGTCATACGGAATGTGTATTTATGTACAATGTAGTTTTCTCTTTCCTTAGATGAAAAGAAACTAAGCTCACTAGAAAATATTGAAAGTACTGCTGGGGCAGTAGTGCATTATGTTGAGTGTCAAAGATTCAGTACCACAAGATGACAAACCTGTTTTAAAAGAAAGAGAGGACATCAACATATTAATATTATATTGCAACTTCTGTCCATCAAATAATTGCATCTACAATTTCTGTTTCTTGCTCAGCCCAAAATCAAAAGTCAGTACCTTTAAAATTGCAATTTAGGCAATCAAAACATTGTTCAGAATTATCTTAAATTGGCATTCTTTTTTATAGTTTAAGTTATAATTTTTTACACTTATTGCCCAAAACAAATTATGAATGATATTTTTGGCTTTCACCTTACCTCTCTTTATAGAAATGAAAAGGCTCTGAATTTCTTTTTATTAATTAAGAAAACATGCTTATATGTGTCTTTAATAAAGCAGAATGACATAATGCAAATGTTTGTAAAATGGAAACCCATTTTAATGTTTTCGATGTCAAATTGGGAAAAAAGTGCTGCATATAGAGGCCATGGACAAGTATTAAAATCGTTGAACACTGGTAGTTCTACCTGGGCTAGATTCCAGGTGAATGAGCCAGCTGTATGGATGTTTCTGTCATTTTCCCCCTGTAAAACATAGATACAAGTGCCAGTTTTCCTTAGAAAGTCCTCCACGCAAAGATTAAGCAGATATTTTTTGTATGGCATAACCAAATAAACCAAGCCAGTGGTGGACCTATTTTGGGGAAGGTAGGGTCTGCAATAACTATCAAAATGTCAAAACTACCACTGCACAATTTTCCTTATTTTTAAATTTTGATATTTAACCCCTTCATGACAGGTGTATCATATCTGCATCGGCAGTTAATCCTCTTACGTGACGGCATGCCACTTAACAAGCTCACCTTGGAGGCAGTGTAATGCAAGATGGGGCGTTTCGTGTCGCTAAACCTAATTTTAAAAAAAAAAAGTATTAAAAATATTATTTTTACCAATTGTTTTGATTTTTTCTGTACTGGTATCCAACAGTAATATAATCATAAATACAGAATCTCAAGAGATTCTGAAAAAAGTTTAACTAAAATCTAAATGTAAAGTAAAGTATTTGACTCATCTTGATAAAATGTTGAAATGTGAAATAAAAGAACTTTTTAAAATCTGTACCTAAACATATGTAAAACATTTTTTTTTTTTTAACCAATGGCGGGCCCTCGGCTGACTTTTGCTTGGCCACTACTGAGGCCAGGAATGCTAGTCACTTTATTATGGATGCACTAATAGGTGACCTACCTTTGTCTCCTATGATGGAACCAACAGTTACAGTTATGCCTTCTCTGGAAATTCGAACCCAGACCTTTTGTTATTGCAGTCGGCTCTCCTAACCACTATACCATCTCAGTGGCAAACAATAAAATATATGATTAAATATAGCATAAATGATTCAGAAAGGAGACAATGTGTGATGATCTAATCGCTATCATTTCATTAATTATGAAACATATTTTCAGGTTGAACTTCCCAGCAGAATAATTAATCCTAGGAATCCCCTCATTTTATGCACATCTACAGGAGTATGTTGATTTTGGATGAAGATGAATTTTTCACCCATCTTTTGTTCATAGAATTTATTAGTTTCTTACACTGTTATGTTCAAAGAAATAGTGAAAGAAATCAGTTTCAATCATATAACTTTAAATTAAGCTTACTTCTGCAATTCCTATAAATTCATAAGGCGTTGATTACTTAATGGATCAAGTTCATAATGAAGTAGCCACTGTTCTGCTGGATTGTGAGGTGAAAGCAAAACAAACTTCCAGTCTTCCTTCATACTTGAGATGTATGTTCTCTACTAGGATCATATTCTTCTATGATAGTAAAAAAATTCTCAAGGTGCATGAAGACTACATTCATATTTTTAATTGTCAAAGTTTTAACATTTTTATCAGCCTCTTTGTGACTTTTATTGTGTATTTCTTTCTTGCTCAATTAAATATTCAGTTGGCAGAGGTACTGAGTGAGATTCAATCAACTGATTAAAATCGTCATTGTTGAGTCCAAATTTAGTTCATTCATTAGGCTAACTATTTCATCTGTTACAGCTTACAGTGTTTCCTCAAAATTTATAAAATCACTCATCATT